TGGCCTCTGCTTCCAAGAAAAGAGCCAGGTTGATTTATTATTGTAATTCTATCTCTGTAATACATTCTCCGCATTTCGCACAAGATTTACTTCGAATCTAGCATGGTGCTCGAATTTCACTAAAAATTTGTAGATTATTTTATTATTAACTTTATATATTACTATATTACTTCAGTAAAATTTATTAAAGTGTTCTTCCTTCTCTAATGTGTATTATATGATTATATGAGCACATGGATGCATCTTTTAATTGCCTTGTTCTTTCCTGCTTTTGTGATTAATATATGAGAGCAGGTTTGCTCTTCTTTCTAATAAATTCTTTTTTATTTACAATATTTTGTGTTCAATGAATCTACTCTTAGATTTTATGTTTGACGTGTTTCTTTATTTTTTTCACATCTCATCTGTTTAAGTGTTTAGCATTGATTATATAAGTAACTTATTAATTGATGAAGTAAACTTATAGAATGTTTTCATCTTCTTTAGTTTGTGAGACATGCCTGATACAAAGAAAAGAAAAAATGCATCTGGAAGTAGAGAAGATCCTGGTTGGGAGCATGGATATCCAGTTGACAAAGACTCTAGGAAGGTTCAATGTAAATATTGCAATGGTATTCGTTGGGGTGGAATATATAGACACAAGCATCACTTAGCAGGGACCAGGGAGAATGTTGAGCCATGTGTTGCAGTACCAGATGAAGTTAAACAAAAGTTTTTACAGATTTTAAGAGATCAAGCAACGAAAAGGAGAAAATACGGTTATGATTCTGAAAGTGAAGATGGCGATATCCAGGACGAGTCTAAAGGAAAAGAGGCAGTAAAACTGAAAGGGTTCAAAACCAAATCAAAGCAAGCAACTATGAATCAAATGTTTAAGAGGGATCAACGAGAAGAAGTCTGTCAACAAATTTGTAGGTTTTTTTACACAAGTGCAGTCCCTTTTAATTGCGTGAAGAATCCCGAGTTCATAAAGATGATTGACATGATAGGGAGATATGGAATTGGATTAAAGCCACCATCTTACCATGAAATAAGGGTAACATTCTTGAAGAAAGAAGTGAGCAGAACATTGGAAATGCTTGAAGAGTATAGACAAGAGTGGAGGAGAACAGGTTGTACAATAATGTCTGATGGATGGTCAGATAATAAAAAAGATCAATTTGCAACTTTCTGGTGAATAGCCCTAAAGGATCTGTGTTTCTATGCTCCATTGACACATCTGAAATATCAAAAACTGCTGAAAGGGTGTTTGAAATGCTTGATGATATTGTGGTCAAAGTTGGTGAGGAAAATGTTGTGCAAGTGGTTACAGATAATGCTTCCAATTATAAAGCTGCGGGTAAGATGCTAATGGAGAAAAGAAAAACACTGTTTTGGACTCCCTGCGCTGCTCACTGTTTGGATCTCATGCTAGAAGATTTTGATAAGATGATCACACTTCATCAAGAAACAGTTTCAAAGGGTAAGAAAATTACCACTTTCATATATGGGAGGACAATGCTTGTCACTTGGTTAAGAGAGTTTACCAAAGGAAGAGATCTGATTAGGCCTGCAGTTACACGATTTGCTACTTCATATTTAACTTTGGCATGTTTAAATGAATTAAAAGGGTGTCTAATTACAATGTTTTCATCAACTAAATGGAAGTGCAGCAGGTTTTCAGCCCTTAAAGAAGGAAAAAATGTCCAAGAAATCGTTTTAGATTCCAAGGGATTTTGGAAAGATGTTATGACATGTTTAAGAGGTGCAATGCCACTTGTTAAGGTTCTTAGATTGGTGGATTCTGATATGCTGCCCCCGATGGGATTCATTTACGAATATATGAATAATGCAAAGCTCAAAATCAAAAGTAATTTTAACAATGTCCAGAAAAGGTATGTTTATTAAAATTCTACCGTAATATATGTGTGTTATTGATTTTTGCTTACTTTGAGTTCATTTGTAAATGTTTACTAGTGTCTTGCTTTGTATTAGATATAAGCCACTCTTAGACATAATTGATCAAAGGTGGGAACTTCAACTCCATTCGCCCTTGCACACGGCTGCTTACTATTTGAACCCACAGTACCATTATGCTGCTGATTTCAAAGACACTTTAGAGATTAAGAAAGGCTTGTACGATTGCATAAACCGAATGGTAGCTGATCAAATGGAAAGAGTTGAGATTACACTGCAGATTGACAAGTTCAAAAGAGCACAAGGACTGTTTGGAAGTGATATGGCAGTTTTAACCAGGAAGAAAAAAAGTCCAGGTTTGTATTGTATAAAATATGGCATGTTTAATCTTATTTGTGATGATTCAGTTCTTAACAGTTTGTATTAATCTGTATAAAAGTTATTTTTATCAAATAATGCAGCTGAATGGTGGGATTCTTTTGGAGATGAATGTCCAGAACTAAAAAAATTGGCCATTAGAATATTGAGTTTGACATGTAGCTCTTCAGGTTGTGAACGAAACTGGAGTGCATTTGAGATGGTAATATATCGTTTGTTATTAATTTCCTTATCATTGATATATATAATATTAATTGTTGATAGTATCTATTCAATAATATAGGTTCATACGAAGAGGAGGAATCGTTTACACCAAAAAAAGATGAATGATTTGGTGTTTGTCATGTACAACCTGAAACTAAAGGAGAGACAACGACAAAGAGCTTTGACTGGTTCCTTAGAATCTAATAAGTTTGGTGCAGATTTTGATGATATTCCCTCAGATGATGAATGGATAACCGAGCAAGAGGATCCTGTTTTTCCAGAAACGAGTAAGTGGTTAGATGTGCTTGATAGGAGTGCAAGAAGAGAAGCAAGAAATGAGTTGGGTGATGAAGCTCAAGAATGTTCTGATGAAGAAGATATTTCTAGTGCAATAAAGATGATTGAATCGAGTAAGTAATACTTGGGGCATTTACTTTTTGAATACTATTGTTGAGTTACTATAAATTGTTAATTCTTCTTATGTCAAATATATACGTATAGGTGATGATATCTTTGATATTTTTGACAAAGAAATGAATTGGGAAGCTCCTGGAGATGATGTATATGAAGAATATGGTGATGATATGTTCACTGAAGACACTCCTGGAAGCAGTCATATGTAGAAAATTTGGTGTACTCCGTAGGAGAAATTATATGTATGAGGCTATGAGCTGATGTGTTTTGAACCTTTGAAATTTGAATATGTAAAATACTGCATTGGTCATGTTATCTACGTTCTTATCTATTTTGTTAACTTTATTTAAAAAATATATGGATGGTTTTATCCTATGAGTTGACATATTAATGTTAATTTGTTGTCTCATATATTTTAGATATTTATTTACTTATATTTCATAAAATCTTACGATTTGCGATTCGATTTTACGATTCGATTTTTAAAACCTTCCACCGATTCGATCAAAATTTACGATTTTGACAACCTTGCTTACCACAATTATGTTCCACATGACAATCCACTCTATCAAGGAGAGAGCATTGCAGACTTCCTAGCCCCCGAGATCACAGAGTATGACAGTATTCAGGTACCGGGAATTACTGCACCCCGTTACGAGATCAAGCCGGCGGTGATCAATATGGTCCTAAATAATCAGTTCGGAGGAAGCCCTACGGAAGATCCAGTGGCACACATCACCAAATTTCTGAGGATGTGCCAGACTTTCAAGATTCCTGGGCTAGATGACGATCAGGTACGGATGCTACTATTCCCTTTCTCTTTGAGGGATGACGCGCAGAGGTGGTTGGATAGCAATCCACATCACCACATTCAGACTTGGGATCAGCTGCACAAGGCCTTCATAAAAGAATACTTCCCAACATCAAAGGCCATAAAGTTGAAGAAGCAGCTACAGGAATTCAAGCAAGGTTCTTTGGAAACACTAGCTGAGGCGTGGAAGAGATTCAAGGTGCTGAGAAGAGCTTGCCCTCAAGGCAAGATGACTGATTGTGAGGTTCTATCTTGTTTCTACAGTGGACTCAACAATGAAGGAAAGATGATGCTTGATGCTTCGGGAGGTGGAGCTTTTCCTCAGTTGCCATCTGAGGTTGCGGAAGAATTAGTGGAGAAGATTGTGTCGAATAATGCTTCATGGTACAGTTCTCGGGACACACCTCACCAAAAGGCCCCGGGATTGTACGAGATCAGTGAGAATTCTGCCCTTTCTGCAAGGGTAGATGCTTTGACTAGTATGATTCAGAAGCTTGCTACTACAGTGGAAGACAATCAAAAGAAGACGGAACTTGCTCTCTCGGTGCCCAGTGTGAATATGGTATCCCCCGTTCCTATTAGTCCCTCTTGTACTATGTGTGGGGGACTCCATTCGCCACATGAATGCACGATGATGGCACACTCGGCAGCCCCTGGGGTAGAGCAAGTGGATGCGATGTATTATCAGCGACAGGGCTACTACAATCAGCCTTACGGACAGCAGCAGCAAGGGCAATACGGGCAAGGAAATCAGTAGCAGTCTAGAAACTTTAATCAGCCCCAGGTACCTCAAGGTCAACAACAAGCTCCTCAACCGGCGCAAGGAAGCTTCCGAAGGGAGACTGAGCAAAAATTTTCTAGTTTAGAAGAAGTGCTCAACAAATTAGCACAAAATCAGCTGAAAGCAGACTCAAGGATGCAAATGTTTGAAGCAAGGATGCAGAGCATGGAGACTCACATGGGGCAGATCTCAAAGGCTTTATCTGAGAGGCCTCAGGGATCCCTCCCTAGTAATACTGAACCGAACCCAAGAGAACATGTTCAGGCAGTCACCTTGAGGAGTGGAAAAGAGTTGGAACCTGCTGCCATAACAAAGAAGCCCGATGAAGTTCACGTTGAACCGGCTGTCCGGGAGGAAGAGAAGGAGAAATATGAGGGAAGAGAGGTGGCGTGTCACGCCCCAGACCGCAATCCAAGCGCGTGTACAACCGCCGTATAATTAAGTGACGTCACCCGCGAGTCAACCTCACTTAATTACACAAGGCGTTTGAGAAAACAATCCATCCATACTCAGTAGTAAACATACATAACAACATCACATTTAAACCAATGAATAGCGGAAATATTCAACGGTAAGTCATAAGCCACAACCGGCCAATAACATGAGCATGCAACCCCAAAAATGGTTTATAACAAATAAAAATATCCATGAGCAATGTTTGGTACTTTGAAACAAAATGAGGAAGCACGAACCACGTCTTCCTTGATTTGATGTCACCCGTAGAAAGGTGCAGGTAGCAAGCCCTAGCTTCAACCTGAAAATGGTGGGCCCCCCCGAAGTGGTCAGTACAAGTACCGAGCGAGTAGCAGGCTAAATATAGAATAACTAGCGTTTCAAGTATAAGACCCAAACATAGGGTGATACATATACGTATAGTCCTTTCCCCAAGTTTGAAATACATATTTGTATACATACACTTGGAAATACCCGACCCGTAGGTCATTGTTTATTTGGGAAAATAATAGTAGCCAATATCCTTGACTTAAATCCCAACCCACCCATATACCTATGAGTGTATAGAACTCCTCCTTGTTCAAATAATTTATCACAAGGACACCGCCCGGTCCTAGATCATTAAATGTAATCTATGAGTTTTGAGGATACACGCCCGATCCTTGGGTACTCCACCCTATAATTGAGTTTTGAGGATAACCGCCCGATCCTTGGGTACTCCACCCTATATAACCGAGTTTTGAGGATAACCGCCCGATCCTTGGGTACTCCACCCTATATAACCGAGTTTTGAGGATAACCGCCCGATCCTTGGGTACTCCACCCGACCTATGACTTACCACTTATCACACTAGATAGGGTCTATATCATATTTAGTCATTCATAACTAATTCACTACATAAGGCTTATGTATCACAATCCATGCAAATCCATGCAACCATATAAATGTATAATTAACTAATATCAACCGATATTAATTAATCCATTAACCATCGGTCAACGTTGTTGTTGACCGCCATCTCAAATCTTACACTTATTAACTAATTCATCATATAATTAAGTTAATAATATCCATTTGTGCTTCTTTTACTCTTAAAGCAAATATGCATATATATATAATTTCTCATATTACATTCCATGCATAAATAATTAATTCCTTTCATACAAAACTTAACCCTATTGGCTAATCACATGTTTAAATATCTTTTAAACATTATTATGAACTCATATAACATTTATTTAGGTAATCTCATAATTGACCCAAAAGTTATAAGATATTAAGCCGTCCACTCACCTTGAACTAGCGTTATGAAGTTCTACCCTTCTTGGTTGAACTCCGGTGAAACTCCGGCGACTTTTGGTCAACTCCGGCGACAATTCCGGCGACTTTTCCAACGTTGTGAAATCACTTGAAATACCCTTTACAAGTGCCTAACAAGGTTTTAACATCATAAAACCTTAATCAATACAAATAACCTATAAAAGGTTATTTTCCGGTGAACCGGTCGTTTTGGCTTCTAAGTCCGTTCTTGGACATAGAATCACTCTCCAACCCATAAATCTATACTTATAACATGTAGAACCCTCTTAAGGATCCTTCACATGATATATATCTTATATGGTAGAAGAAAAATAAAGGAGAAGTTATAATAAGGTCATTACCTTAAGTATTCACACTTTTTCCTAACTTTTTCCTTCTCAAACCTCCTTCTTTGGACCAAAACCTCTTGAGCTCGTGCTGCAACAATGGAGGTGGTATTGGGAGCTTTTCCTCTTCCTTTCTTGATGCTTTGGTCGAGCTCAATGATAGGGGTGAGAGAGGGCACACCCTTTTTGTCTCAAATGACAATAAGAGAGGGTGAGGGGTCCTTCTTGGTACTATAGATGCCAAATGGTCCTCCTCCACATATTAATTTGTCATTCCAGCCTACATGGGTCTTGTTGAGCACACAAAAACGTGGGGTGGCCCCCACTCATGTGGGAGGTCATCCCTTTGTGTCCCGATGTGTACAATTGGTCCCGAAAGTTGTATTTTTCGGACTTTTTTAAATATATTTTATTTTATCGGGTCCAATAAAATATATTACGTGTTCCCAATCGTAACGCCCCTTTGAAATAATATATATTCCAAAACTTTAATTTAGAAGTCTCCGAAATTCATTTTCGGGCTCAAGTCTGTTAAATTGTCGGTACCGGTATTTGGGCCTCTTTTGCCCAATCGGCCAACACAAGGCCTTTCCACGACCCAAGTAAAATATCCACCACCATATAAATATTATCTTGACCAAGATGAATAAAATATGTGGTCTCGGGAAAGTTGGGTGGTCCCCGCTCCCGATGTGGGTCCCACGTGCAATTTACTATTCACGCGAAAGAAATAATAAAAATTTACAACTTCGTAATTTCATTAATCCTTTAATAAGGTTCGATACATTATTTACATAAAAGTAAATATATTTGGGGACGGTGTTACAAGTTCACCCCCCCTTATTTGGGATTTCGTCCCCGAAATCCAAGTAGCTAATCGAAAAGAAATGGGTATTGCTCCCTCATTGAGACCTCGGTCTCCCAAGTTTCTTCTTCGACTCGATCACTCCTCCAAAGAACCTTTACCATAGGAATCTCTTTATTCCTAAGCTTCTTCACTTGTTGACCAACAATCTTCACTGGTTCCACCGCATATTGCAAGTCCTCACGGATCTCTACCGGTGGTTTCTCAAGAATATGAGACGGGTCTCGTATGTACTTCTTGAGCATTGATACATGAAACACGTCATGTATCTTCTCAAGTTCAGGCGTCAACTTGAGTCGGTAAGCCACGGCTCCGATCCTTTCAAGGATCTCAAACGGACCTATGTATCGGGGGTTAAGTTTCCCCCTCGATACGAATCGGATGATGCCCTTCCAAGGAGAAATCCTTAGGAAGACCTCATCACCGACTTCGAACTCCAACGGTCTCCGCCGTTTATCAGCATAACTCTTCTGTCGGTCCTGAGCGGCCTTCAGTCTATCCCGAATGATCCTCACCTTGGCCTTGGTGATCTCAACCAGCTCTATCCCTTCGAGTTTGGCCTCGCCAACCTCGTCCCAACACAACGGTGTTCTGCACTTCCTCCCATACAATGCCTCATATGGAGGCATGCCGATACTTGCCTGATAACTGTTGTTATAGACAAACTCCACTAGGGCTAAATGTTTGTCCCAACTTCCTTGGAACTCCAAAGCACATGCCCTAAGCATGTCTTCCAAAATCTGTATCACCCGCTCGGACTGTCCATCCGTTTGTGGGTGAAAAGCTGTGCTAAACTTCAGTTTGGTCCCCAAAGATGCTTGAAACTTTGGCCAAAACCGGGATGTGAATCGTGGATCCCTATCCGAGACAATGGATACTGGGACTCCATGTAATCTCACAATCTCCTCCGTGTATAGCTTGGCCAATCTTTCAAGAGGATAAGTAATGTTGATAGGCAGAAAGTGTGCACTCTTGGTGAGCCTATCGACCACTACCCATACTGCATCGTAGTTGTTCACTGTTCGTGGTAGCCCCACCACGAAGTCCATCGTCACGTGTTCCCACTTCCACTCTGGGATAGTAAGTGGTTGCAAAAGCCCTGCCGGGTGCTGATGCTCTGCCTTAACTTGTTGGCAAGTAAGGCATCGACTCACATACTCTGCGATGTCTCTCTTCATACCTGACCACCAGTAACCTTCCTTCAAATCTCGGTACATTTTTGTACCTCCTGGATGCATAGCATAAGCTGAAGAATGAGCCTCCTCAAGTATAGACTTCTGGAGGTCTTCATTCTTGGGTATGCACACACGATCCTTAAACAATAATAGACCGTCATCGCGTACTCGAAAGTTCTCAACAGGCCCCTCAATGATTCGTTCACGAATCTTCTGACACTCCTCGTCAATGGCCTGGCATCTACTGATCTCACCCAGCAATGTAGGTCTGACCTCAAACCTAGCAATGAGCGCCCCGCTCGTGGATACCCCCACGTGTGCCCTCAATGCCTGTAGACATGTGAGTAGCGTCCCCGACGTACTCTTTCTGCTTAGTGCGTCGGCCACTACATTGGCCTTTCCGGGATGATAGTCGATGATCAAGTCATAGTCCTTGATCAACTCCATCCATCTCCTCTGCCTCATATTCAACTCTTTCTGAGTGAATACATACTTCAAGCTCTTATGATCAGTATAAATGTGACACGTCTCCCCGTAGAGATAATGCCTCCAAATCTTCAATGCAAACACTACCGCCCCCAACTCTAGATCGTGAGTAGGGTAGTTCACCTCGTGTTTCCTCAATTGCCTAGAAGCATAGGCAATCACCTTACCGTTTTGCATTAGTACACATCCAAGCCCCTGGATGCTAGCATCGCTGTAGATGTCATACCCTATCCCTTGTATGGGTAGGGCAAGGACAGGTGCCTCGGTAAGTCGTTTCTTCAATTCAAGGAACCCCTTCTCGCACTTGTCGTCCCATATGAACTTGGCCCCCTTCTTTGTGAGCTTCGTTAATGGAGACGCCAATACGGAGAATTTTTCAACAAATTTACGATAGTATCCCGCTAAGCCAAGGAAACTACGTATTTCCTTCGCATTCCTGGGTCTCTCCCAATCCATGATCGCTTTTATCTTGGTGTTATCCACAGCAACACCTGAACCGGATATGACATGACCGAGGAAACCAATCTCTTTGAGCCAAAATTCGCATTTAGAGAATTTGGCGAAGAGTTGCTTTTCCCTTAGCCGATCAAGTACAAGCCTCAAATGATGTTCGTGCTCTTCCTCGCTCTTGGAGTATATGAAGATGTCATCAATGAATACTATCACAAATTGATCTAAGTATTCACTAAACACACGATTCATCAAGTCCATGAATGCCGCCGGTGCGTTAGTTAAACCAAACGACATCACAAGGAACTCGTAATGACCATATCTAGTGCGAAATGCACTCTTAGGTATGTCGCTCTCCTTGATCTTCAACTGATGATACCCCGACCTCAAGTCAATCTTCGAGAACACTTTTGCCCCTCGAAGTTGATCGAACAAGTCATCAATCCTCGGTAAGGGATACCTGTTCTTGATGGTGACCTTGTTCAATTGTCGGTAGTCGATACACATTCTTAGTGTACCATCTTTCTTCTTCACGAAGAGTACGGGTGCTCCCCACGGTGAATGACTGGGTCTGATGAACCCGTTGTCCAATAGTTCTTGTAGTTGGACCTTCAACTCTTGAAGTTCGGCCGGTGCCATTCGATAAGGAGGAATCGAAATGGGTTTGGTTCCCGGCTCCACTTCGATTACAAATTCAATCTCTCTATCGGGTGGAAGCCCCGGTAGGTCCTTGGGAAAGACGTCCGGGTACTTGCACACGACTCGAACATCCTTGATGTCGACTTCTTTCTTCGTATCATCTACCACGTAAGCAAGGTATGTGTGGCATCCCTTCCTCATCATCTTTCGTGCTCTCATCACGGATATGATACAAGCATTAGACTTCCCCCGATCTCCTTCAAAACGTAGCATATTCCCTTGACCATCCTCAAGCTCCAACACCTTGGTGTAGCAATCTACTCGAGCATGGTGCTTCTCAAGCCAATCCATTCCTAGGATTGCATCGAACTCCAACATGCTTAGAGGTACGAAATCACAAGTCAAGGGTTGACCCGTCACTTCCACCTCACACGATGGATAGTAATAATTTCTCTCCACGTCGTCTCCTAACGGTGTGGAGACTAGCAACGTTTGCGTCATAGGTGTCAATGGCACGTCAAGGCCCTCGGCGAACGCCTCACTCACAAATGAGCGTTGTGCCCCGGTATCGATGAGGATCCTCGCACACCTACCATTGATCTTTAATGTTCCTACATTTATACACCATGTAAGATACATTTTCTAATGTTTTTACACATCATCAAGATGTTATTATGTTCATACTAATGTTTGAGATCAAACGGGGGTCCAAACGTAGAAGAACGGGGCGAAAAAAATAAAGTTTCAGGTGCCAGGGGTCCACGCACGGCGTGCGTAGGGGGTACGCACGGTCGTGCGTACCTTGTCTTACCAATGGAGGCTACTGCCCCCAACGCACGGAGGGACGCACGGGCAACGCACGGCCGGGCGTGCAGCGATTCCCTCCGGGGTGCTACTGCCACCAACGCACGGAGGTACGCACGGGCAACGCACGGCCGGGCGTGCAGCGAATTTCCTCCGGGGTGCTACTGCCACCAACGCACGGAGGTACGCACGGGCAACGCACGGCCGGGCGTGCAGCGGATTTCCTCCGGGGTGCTACTGCCACCAACGCACGGAGGTACGCACGGGCAACGCACGGCCGGGCGTGCAGCGATTTTCCTCCGGGGTGCTACTGCCACCAACGCACGGAGGTACGCACGGGCAACGCACGGCCGTGCGTGCAGCCCAGCCTGTAGTGCGTTGGCAGAAATCAGCCCGATTTCGCCCAATTTCGCCCAATTTCGCTCCGTTTGGTCCCGGGGTGGCCCGAACTCAACCCCCAACGGTGTATATGATCAAACTAAGCCTAGAAATACATGGGAATACGTGTATTACCTGCAACGGAGTCCGGGTTTGCTCGCGCATCCGCCTCGGTCATCGCGTAGACTCGTGTTTGGGTCCCACCTTGGTTGACGGATGCGGCATGGCTTGTGGATGCACCGCCTCTTCCCGTGCCGCCGTTTGACGGTCCCGCACGGTTCCTTCCCGTCATGGTCCCTCCCCCGGCTCCTGAGGCACTCTCTTGCATCAATTGAGGGCAATTGGCCTTCATATGGCCCGCATTCCCGCACTTAAAACACCTCGGTGGTTCATTGCACTTCCCAAAGTGTTGTTTTGAGCAATTGGGACATCTAGGTGGCCCCGAGTTCTGTGGCCTAGGTCCGTGCCACCTCGCATCCCTATTCTTCTTTGCCGGTGGAGCCGGCGCCTTGAATGAATCACCGCCACCACCGCCACCACCGTGGTTGTTCCTTCGAGAATGGTCGGGTGGCCCCGAATTATTCCATTTCCTCTTCTTCGCCTCTTCGGCGTCCCTTGCTTTCCTCTCATTCCACTGGGCCTCTCCAAGCATGCCCTGCTCTACCACCTCACTAAAGGTCATGAGGCGGGAATACGTGGCACGATCTCGGATGTCCAAGAGTAAGGCATCCCAAAAGTGCTCAGTCATGCGGTCCTCATCGATCGCATTTTTCGGCAAGAACCTAGCCAAGGTCCTAAATTCTTGCTCCAGTTGCTTAACCGTGCAACCCTCTTTCTGCTTGAGGTTGGTGTACTCCCTCCTCTTCACATTAACCTCGAAATCGGAGTAGTATTGAGCATAAAATTCTTGCTCAAAATTTTCCCATGAGATGTCCCCACGGTATTTCCCTTCTACACCTTCCCACCATGTAGAAGCCATCCCCTCAAGTAGCCGTGAAGCGACAGTTAGCTTCACGTCCGGAGTAATCTGCATGTCTCTCGATGCATCCTTCACTTTCTTGATCCAATCGGCGGCAACGGTAATGTCACCGGTGCCGTCAAAGGACCTACACCCCAAGGCCCTAGCCTCCTTGAGGTACTTGGAGATTCTCACAACAAAACCCCCTTCACGCCCACCTTGTGACGCCGCTGGGGTGGCCACGGAAGCTCCCCGGCTTCCTTGACCCGAACCTCCACGAGAGCCACGCCTCGCTTGGCGCCTAAGGTCTCTCCTCAGTTTCTCTTTCTGATACCACTCAAGTAATTCACCCATTTGGGCGAACCGGGCATCACTCTCATCGTCATCATCGGTGTATGTATCCCCCCCATCATACGGGGTCTCCTCATGCTCCGTTTCTGGAACGTAGGTTGAGTCATAGTCCTCGGTGTTGGTTTCATACACCGAGCTTACATGGCCATCACTCACAGTTTGAGCTTGATGACCTCCACGGCTCCCACGGCCTCCACGGCCTCCTCTTGAACCCCGAGATGCAGCCCGGCTTCCCCTTTGGGACGCTACCGGCGCCCGCCCTCTCGGATTGTTCCTGGTTGCCATCCGCCTGCCCTCCATTTCTGAAAGAAATATGGATGAGTCATTAGACTCCGATAAATGTCAATTGACGGAAGAACGCCATAGACACGTATTGGCCCAAGTCACCACCATACCAATTGTTAAGGGTACCGTCTTAACAATTAGAGGCCTTGCAACTTAAGCTCCAATAGTCCCATAAACGTCAAAATCCAATGCTCATGGTTTTTGGTAAAAACTCTTTCGTAAAATCTCATGTGAGAGGTTGATTATATAGTTTAGAACTGAGATGGCTCTGATACCACTTAATTGTCACGCCCCAGACCGCAATCCAAGCGCGTGTACAACCGCCGTATAATTAAGTGACGTCACCCGCGAGTCAACCTCACTTAATTACACAAGGCGTTTGAGAAAACAATCCATCCATACTCAGTAGTAAACATACATAACAACATCACATTTAAACCAATGAATAGCGGAAATATTCAACGGTAAGTCATAAGCCACAACCGGCCAATAACATGAGCATGCAACCCCAAAAATGGTTTATAACAAATAAAAATATCCATGAGCAATGTTTGGTACTTTGAAACAAAATGAGGAAGCACGAACCACGTCTTCCTTGATTTGATGTCACCCGTAGAAAGGTGCAGGTAGCAAGCCCTAGCTTCAACCTGAAAATGGTGGGCCCCCCCGAAGGGGTCAGTACAAGTACCGAGCGAGTAGCAGGCTAAATATAGAATAACTAGCGTTTCATGTATAAGACCCAAACATAGGGTGATACATATACGTATAGTCCTTTCCCCAAGTTTGAAATACATATTTGTATACATACACTTGGAAATACCCGACCCGTAGGTCATTGTTTATTTGGGAAAATAATAGTAGCCAATATCCTTGACTTAAATCCCAACCCACCCATATACCTATGAGTGTATAGAACTCCTCCTTGTTCAAATAATTTATCACAAGGACACCGCCCGGTCCTAGATCATTAAATGTAATCTATGAGTTTTGAGGATACACGCCCGATCCTTGGGTACTCCACCCTATAATTGAGTTTTGAGGATAACCGCCCGATCCTTGGGTACTCCACCCTATATAACCGAGTTTTGAGGATAACCGCCCGATCCTTGGGTACTCCACCCTATATAACCGAGTTTTGAGGATAACCGCCCGATCCTTGGGTACTCCACCCGACCTATGACTTACCACTTATCACACTAGATAGGGTCTATATCATATTTAGTCATTCATAACTAATTCACTACATAAGGCTTATGTATCACAATCCATGCAAATCCATGCAACCATATAAATGTATAATTAACTAATATCAACCGATATTAATTAATCCATTAACCATCGGTCAACGTTGTTGTTGACCGCCATCTCAAATCTTACACTTATTAACTAATTCATCATATAATTAAGTTAATAATATCCATTTGTGCTTCTTTTACTCTTAAAGCAAATATGCATATATATATAATTTCTCATATTACATTCCATGCATAAATAATTAATTCCTTTCATACAAAACTTAACCCTATTGGCTAATCACATGTTTAAATATCTTTTAAACATTATTATGAACTCATATAACATTTATTTAGGTAATCTCATAATTGACCCAAAAGTTATAAGATATTAAGCCGTCCACTCACCTTGAACTAGCGTTATGAAGTTCTACCCTTCTTGGTTGAACTCCGGTGAAACTCCGGCGACTTTTGGTCAACTCCGGCGACAATTCCGGCGACTTTTCCAACGTTGTGAAATCACTTGAAATACCCTTTACAAGTGCCTAACAAGGTTTTAACATCATAAAACCTTAATCAATACAAATAACCTATAAAAGGTTATTTTCCGGTGAACCGGTCGTTTTGGCTTCTAAGTCCGTTCTTGGACATAGAATCACTCTCCAACCCATAAATCTATACTTATAACATGTAGAACCCTCTTAAGGATCCTTCACATGATATATATCTTATATGGTAGAAGAAAAATAAAGGAGAAGTTATAATAAGGTCATTACCTTAAGTATTCACACTTTTTCCTAACTTTTCCCTTCTCAAACCTCCTTTGGACCAAAACCTCTTGAGCTCGTGCTGCAACAATGGAGGTGGTCTTGGGAGCTTTTCCTCTTCCTTTCTTGATGCTTTGGTCGAGCTCAATGATAGGGGTGAGAGAGGGCACACCCTTTTTGTCTCAAATGACAATAAGAGAGGGTGAGGGGTCCTTCTTGGTACTATAGATGCCAAATGGTCCTCCTCCACATATTAATTTGTCATTCCAGCCTACATGGGTCTTGTTGAGCACACAAAAACGTGGGGTGGCCCCCACTCATGTGGGAGGTCATCCCTTTGTGTCCCGATGTGTACAATTGGTCCCGAAAGTTGTATTTTTCGGACTGTTTTAAATATATTTTATTTTATCGGGTCCAATAAAATATATTACGTGTTCCCAATCGTAACGCCCCTTTGAAATAATATATATTCCAAAACTTTAATTTAGAAGTCTCCGAAATTCATTTTCGGGCTCAAGTCTGTTAAATTGTCGGTACCGGTATTTGGGCCTCTTTTGCCCAATCGGCCAACACAAGGCCTTTCCACGACCCAAGTAAAATATCCACCACCATATAAATATTATCTTGACCAAGATGAATAAAATATGTGGTCTCGGGAAAGTTGGGTGGTCCCCGCTCCCGATGTGGGTCCCACGTGCAATTTACTATTCACGCGAAAGAAATAATAAAAATTTACAACTTCGTAATTTCATTAATCCTTTAATAAGGTTCGATACATTATTTACATAAAAGTAAATATATTTGGGGACGGTGTTACATGGCGGCTGCACCAAAACAGTCCGTTCCGGTCAAGAATTACACCCCACCTCTCCCCTATCCGGCGCGATCGACTAGGAAGAACGATAGTGACCAGTTTGGTAAGTTTCTGCATCTCATGAAACAAGTGCAGATTAACTTACCATTCGTGGATGCACTAGCTCAGATGCCGAAGTACGCGAAGTTTATGAAGGATTTGCTCACGAACAAGAGGTGGCTGGAAGAAGCGTCTACTGTGACGCTTAATGAGGAGTGCTCAGCTGTGATACGGACAGATCTGCCGAAGAAGCTTAAGGATCCAGGTTCTTTTACTATTCCCTGCTTTATAGGAGATCTTACTTTTGATAGGGCCCTGGCTGATTTGGGTGCAAGCATTAATTTGATGCCTCTTGCTTTATATGAAAAGCTTGCACTCGGTCCACTTAAACCTACACGTATGTGCATTCAGTTGGCTGATCGTTCAGTCAAATATCCCCAGGGGATTATTGAAGACGTGTTGGTTAAAGTGGACAAATTTATTTTTCCGGTAGACTTTGTTATTTTGGACATGGATCAGGATCGGGAAGTGCCATTGATTTTGGGCAGACCATTCTTGGCAACTGCCCGAGCACTTATTGATGTTGGAGACGGTAAGCTTGTCCTCCGCGTTGGGGATGAGTCTGCCACCTTTGACATGTCCAAAATAATGAAGAGGCCCTGTCAAGATAGTGGTGAGTGTTTTTACATGGATGTGGTTGATTCTTTGGTGGAGGATTGCATTCCTAACATGCTTTCTGATGAAGCCTTCTTTGATCTTCTTTTGGATGATAGTTTGTCAGCAGAGGATCTTGAGCTTCTCCCTAGTTTTGATTGTCTTATGCTTGATGGGGAGGAGGACTCAAGTGATGCTAGTGATGTGAAGGGGAAGGAAGATGACTTAGATAAGGTGGAGAAGGAAGACTGTCAGACTGATTCTTCTATTGTTACTCCTTCTCCATTAAATCTAAAGCCTCTTCCCTCCCACCTTGAGTATGCGTTTCTAGATGATAGTTCTGACCTCCCTGTTATTCTTGCATCCGGGCTTGAGCCATCCCAAAAATCTGCATGTCTTGACTTACTTTGTGAACAAAGGGAAGCTCTAGCCCGGAAACTTTCTGACATGAAAGGAATCAGTCCTGTTTTCTGCACTCATAAAATTTTGATGGAAGATAATGCTAAACCGGTACTGCAGCCACAAAGGAGACTGAATCCTAATATGCA